CCCCCTCCTCCGCTACCTCCGCCGCTCCCAGCCTTGGGGCGGCGACCCTTACCCGGACGAAACTGCGCTGCAGCAGCCGCGACGACTGTCTCCGCAGCAGGGGCTGTCTCAGTGACAGCAGCAAAACCATTGGAGTAAGTGTTTTGAGCAGGGGAACAGCCCTGAAAGATTGAGACCGGCACTGTACCACTAGACTGGGCGATAGAGCGCTGACGAGTCTCTATGGCAGACAGGGTGTCGACAAAGTCAGTGAGGGTGAGGTCAGCGGGGTGGAGACTAAGAAAGTGATCGCGGGCGGTAGCAAGGCGGTCAGGGAGGCGGGTGGCAAGTAGGTAGAGGGTAGAGAAGATGGGGGGCTGAAACATACGAAGCTGGGCCTTAGTGCAGGCAGCGCGCCAGGTCGCGTCTCGCGTGCGCAAGTGGGCGGCCAGGTCAACAACAGTGGAGAAAGGCGCGAGATCTGGAAAGAGGATGGGCAGGATCAGGCGACCGACAGAGGCAGAGGGCGGGGTGGAATAGCACGTGACAACGGCCTCTAGGAACTCCTGCATAGTCCTGACCGACCTAAAGCGAGGGCGCTCAGACAGGGGGAGGGCATGACTAATCGCGAGATGTGCAAGGGCACCAGCGGCAACGGACTTACGGTCAGCAGACGTGGGGTTAGTGGGTAGAGCAGCAGGGGGTCAGGGCAGGGGAGCATACCGTTGATGTGGACGGCCAAGGAGTGACCGTCCTGCCGCTGACCAGTGAGGTGACGGCGGAGGTCGACGAGCCATGTGTCGAACTCAACCGGCAGACCCTCCGCGTCAAAGCGCAGCACCGAGTCCGCCATCATGGTTCCGTAGCAGCAGAAAGGCGGTAGTGGGCTGGACTGAGCGAGAGAGTGCGGCGGAAAGCAGTAGTGTACAGTGCAGTGCGGTACAGTGCGGTAGACTGCGGAAGAGTGAGGTGCAGTACGGTAGGGTGCGGTGCAGTGCGATGCAGGGCGGTGGAGTGCTGTGAAAAGGGTCGATGAAGCTGGGGGGGGGTTGGGCGGCGGGCAACTGAAGGACGGGGCCGTGAGGAGGCTGAGCGGTGTGGCCGAGGGGCGGCTGGTCAAAAGGGGCTGTGTGGCGGCTAGGAGACAGGGCCGCGGGCGGCGAGGCGACGGGGCCGGCTAGGCGGCTAGGTGACGGGGCCGGCTGGGCGACGGGGCCGGTTGGGCAACGGGGCCGGCTGGGCGACGGGGCCGGCTGGGTGAATTACCCGTTCCATTGATTTTTCCCGCGCGTGCGATAAGGACTGTTACAGAATACCATGCAAGAGAAACTGTTGCGCGACAGAAATGGAAATGGCATAACGAACCTCAAATTTGCCTGTCAAATATGAATATCATCCTCCAAACCTCGTCAATAATTGAAATAACAACAGCTCACCGAAGTGACGCCAAAGACGTTTTTAGCGTGGCATGATTAAATACATGATTGGAAAGTATACTTTCTCAAACTATGTTTATAGTATCATGTTGAATAACTTATTTTAGGAATTGAAATTATATATTCTTGGTTAATACGATTCAAATAGTTACAACATCTAGTATCAATGCGTGAACCGTTCGTGCTATATCTCAAAGTATCAACGGATCGAATGACCCGAGTTCTCAGCTTTGTAGATCTCGCCCGTATAAATGATGCCTGGAAGTTTTACCTCGAGGCTTGCACCTAGCGCAAAACGAAAGTCTTCCACTAACTTTTACTCATGGTTCCACTAAATCTAGATCCTGACCACCCTAAATGCGTGTTTTTACTCCAATAAAGGTGTCGGCATAGTACACTTGCAGAAAGTAGTATACAGCGGTAGAAGATGAAGAGCTCATGCTCGGCAAATTCTGGGCTCGCGAGGCCCGGCAGAGTCTGGGCGTGCGAGTCTCGGCAGGTTCTCAACAGAGGGCATGGGTCCTCCTGTCAAGATTATATAAGTTATATATAATTGATAGGCTTGATAGTTGTTACTGAACCTTTCTGTAGAGGGTACAATCCCCTCCTTGTACCCCTCTCTCTTCCTAATCGATACTCTTCTTTCTCGACACTTTTCTCCTCACGTTCCTAGATCTAATTTCCTCCCGCCATTCCATGGCGTCCTTTCCTAGTATCCTAGCTTCCTAGTTCAAGAAGCTAGTGTCCTAAGTTCTGAGATGGTATCCGAGCAGGCCGTTACTGGGCCTGCTCCCTGCGCTTCCGCTGCGTGTTTTCACCGTTCACGTATGTGCCGCCATCGCGGCCCTTCAGTACCCTGCCGCCGTGGCGGCCACTTGTTATCCTGTCGCCGTGGCGGCCTTCTGCTGTCGCGCCACCGTGACGGCTTCTCGTCTTCGTGCCGATGTGACGGCCGTTACGAGATGCCGCCGCGGGCTCATGGTGCAGCCGTCGCCTATCCGCCTCGCCGCTGCGGCATTGACGCCGCGCTGTGGCGGCGTCTAGGGCAGCCGACGGCATCGTCGGGCTACGGCCGGCCGAGCGACGTCTGTGGCGCCGCCGGACCTGCTGCTCGCTCGCCAGCCACGGGCGTCACTCAGGACGCCGTCCTCCTTCCAGTAAGCGTCGCGCCATTTATGGCGCGACGCTGAAGACTCGCCTCGCGCCCCCCCCTCCCCCCCCCCATTCTCCCTTCCCCCTTGCGTCTTCCCTTCCTCCTATCGCAGCTGCTGTCTTCTGTCCGGACGTTGCCACACCGCCGAGAGCCCTCAGCTGCGGTAGTCGCCGCCTGCTGTCAGCGACACAGCTGCCTTGAGCCAGAGCTCCGCCGCTGCTTGTCGCTGAGCCGCCCAGACGCCGTCGGCTGTCTCTCGCCCGGGGGTGTCAACGCTTAGCACGAGGGTCAGATACCCGGCTAAGCACGAGCTTGAGGGTGTGCGGGGTTAGGGGGTGTGTTGGGTGGGTGTGTGACTATCAAGCCTAGGGGGTGTGTCAATATTATATAAGTTATATATAATTGATAGGCTTGATAGTTATTATTGAACCTTTCTATAGAGGGTACAATCCCCTCCTTGTACCCCTCTCTCTTCCTAATCAATACTCTTCTTTCTCGACACCTTTTTCCTCACGTTCCTAGATCTAATTTCCTCCCGCCATTCCATGGCGTCCTTTCCTAGTATCCTAGCTTCCTAGTTCAATAAGCTAGTGTCCTAAATTCTGAGACCTCCTTACGATGCGATTTCGCAAAAGGGCGCAAATTCTCTCTTCGGTAGAAAGAGAAACCAATCTGGGTGAAATCGAACCTATCTGCGATATGAACGTGGTGCACATAATCATAACAGGGGACACGTGCAGAACATCAGACAGTTAAGATCCTGAACTATCATGTCCAACTGTCATGATTGGTGAACACCTGCCAATGCTGATTTGGCATTTTACAAGCCAGTGCTACTTGGGAATTGCCCTTGCCGATGCTGTGTTGGCAGAGTGCATCCAAGTAGTGGTAGAGAACGTTATGCTGCTCGATGTTGACTTGGCAGAGTGCACATGCGCGGTGTTTCGACGACGTTCGGCAGAGAACGTTCTTGCATGTTTCATGAAGATGTGACTAGTTCTTGCCCTTGTTGTATCATATCCAATCCTGATTCTAGTGAATTTTGTGTTTGTGCAAGAGCTACACCAGTAGACACACAATCTGAGGGCAAACTTCTCCTTAGAGAACTGCACAGTTAGTATAGCTCCAAATTCCGCGCCATGCATTTCCCGCGGAAGCTCATGTTATAGTAGAAAACTTTGCAGGCAAAACGTATGCGGCTCTTCAGGGAACCACATTTGGGTGCCGTGATTTGAATTTCATGGCAAAATGAGGACTGTTAAAATTATATAAGTTATAATTTGATATAGGCTTGGTAGGTTGTTACTGAACCTTTCAATAGAGGGTACAAACCCCTTCTTGTACTCCTCTCTCTTCCTAATCAAACACCTTTCTTCTCGACATTCTCTCCCTTCCTAGATCCGTTTTCCTCACGCCATTCCATGGCGGCCTTCTTGCTAGTATCCTAGCCAACCTAGCCTCCTAAGTTTAAGAACCTTGAGTCCTAAGTTTCTAAGAAGGACAACCCCGTTATAGCAGTGTACGCGTTACTAACTAAAACAAGAGGCGACGAGATCGTCTTAGGGTTGCGGAGCATTTCATGATGAGACTTTATTATACATAAAATGTTTTATTTCCATATCACAAAAGACATTTGTTTTTTATTTCACAAACTTGAAAAAAAAACCAGCCCGATCGATTGCAATAGGTTGCTCCGCAACCCAAAAATAGAATGAAATACCATTTCATTACACCCACCATCATTATTCTCGCCTAGTGTGAGTTTGTTTCCTAACGTAAAGATAAACCAAACTGACACTAGGCAAATTTGAGGCTAACCGTATATGAAATTCAATCCTGCCCTGTCTGAATTGCATTGACGATCTTGGCCCCGTCTTGCCCTGGGGATCGAAAGCGGTCCGTCGGACTTTCATTTGTGCCTGTGTCGCGCGGTTCCGCATACAGTGTCATTGACTACAGCCAATCCCACGACATTCTCTCTCTTTAGGAGGCGTGGTTGATGCGCACATTGGACCGAGCCCCTCCCATTGTGTCACACTGGGCCTCGTTGCTCGCACTGCAACCCTGGGCTGGGAATTGTGTGCGCCTCGCCCTCAACCCAGCCCCGCCTCGCCCTTCACGAGATGACACTAAACGGAAAACGCAGGGGCCAATTCTCAGCCTGACTGCCACCAGCAGCATGCGCATCGCTCGTAACAGCTTGCCATCGGGTGCGCCTCCTAACCTCCTAATTCATGTCAGCCATGCCGCTTCGTGCCTACCCTTGGCCCGTTCAGTTGAGCTTCGGTCCCAGCAGCGAGTTGTGTGCCAACCCTGGTGTCCGCCAGCGATTGCGAGCACGACTGCGCTGTGCGGGAGCACGGTGCACGAGCCGTGATGCAGCAAGCTTGGGCCTTTGGTGTTCATACATAGGTTTCGCGTCCTGCCTTGCGCTCCCATCGAATCCAGACATTTCAAAACCTCCAAATTCACCCACTCCGCGGGGGTACTAGGTTATGAGTGCCTTGTAGTCAGCTCGAGCAACCCCGGGCCATCGACGAGTAGTCCCCGTAGCGCTAGCTTCTGGCCATGACACCGAGACTTATCACGAGATGCAGCCACAGGCGGAGACCTGCTCTTTGGCTTTCCCTCGTGTTCATTCTAGTTTCTCTCGTTAGCGTCGACGCAATTGTGGATGGCTCCTCGCGCCCCAGGCGTCGGTTGCGAGCAGCTGGTGGTGGCAACGACGGCGGCAGCAGCGGCACGAGTCAGCAAACGAAACGTGAGACAAAGGCCCAGAGAACGGGATTCACGAATTTAGTTGCTCCCTCTCTCAGCCGCCTGTTTCGTTCTTAGCAGCGCGTCAACGTCATCTAACGGCTAACCCTTCTCTGTTTCCCGTCTCTCCGCTCACCCTCGCGCGATCCCGCAGTGTACATTCTCCGCTTCCGCGCGCTCCCCCCAGTCGTCGCGTACACTGGCTCGCTGCTGGGCTTCCCCGCCACTGCCCCGCGCAATGGCTACTCCGCCGCAACTACCGCTACCCCCGACGACCTTGCAGATGATTTATCGCCGGCGTCGACTGGCGTGACGGCCACCGCTTTTGGTGCCAGCGGCGGTTCTGACCGCGTGAGTGAGGATGCCGAGGCGCCGGCCAAGCGTCTGGATTCGGGGGCGGAGCACGTGCGCGCGTACGCGCGGCACCTGGACCGCATGCACGACTCCGTGCTGGCCGACGCCGGCGTCGACGCGCTCACGCGCAAGCTCTACAGCTTCAGATACGTCACTAACGGCGTCGCCGTCCGGCTTACCCCGCGACAAGCCTCGCTACTGAAGCGCCACCCAGCCGTGGGCTCACTCGCCGAGTCGAAGATTCTTCAAGCGCGGACGACGTTTACTCCGTCGTTTCTTGGGCTGAGGGACGGAGTATGGGACCGCCGGCCTATCCCTGCGTCCACACCGGGGGCGCTGCAATGGCTCGGGGCAAGGGGTGCCTGGGGCGCAGGCGGAGATGGGGGCCGCCGGGCGGGAGCAGTGCGCGGGGCGCAAGGAGCAGCGCAAACAGCGCGCACCGCGAGGGCAGAAGCGTTGCAAGGAGCGAACGGTGCTGAGGGGTGGGGTGGGATCTGGGGAACAGTGGACGAGGTGATGGGCGCGGGCGTGGAGCGACGGCGGAACGGCAGCACACCCGGCGGGGGTGCACCCGGCGCCACGGGAAGCGCCGCTCCCGACTCCAATGGGAGGCCGAGCAGCGGCGAGAATGCACGAGCATTCGGGGTGCGGGGTGGCAGAAAGCGCGGTGGCAAGCGAGTAGACACGGGTCTGCGCGGGGAGAATGTGATCATTGGCGTCATCGACACGGGCGTGTGGCCGGAGAACCCCGCCTTCACCGGAAAGATCCTGCCGCACTACGGGCGCATCCCGCGGCGGTGGCGGGGGTCGTGCACGGTGACCAAGGACTGGCCCAGCGGCGCGTGCAACCGCAAGCTGATCGGCGCCAAGGCGTTCTTCAGAAGCATGCAGGACGACGTCGACTGGACCGTCGAGTACCCGTCGGCGCGCGACGTGCACGGCCACGGCACGCACACGGCCAGCACGGCCGCCGGCAACGACGGGCGTACGGCCGCGCTGCGAGGCGTGCAGTTCGGGTCGGAGAGCGGCATGGCCCCCAGAGCTAGGATCGCCGTGTACAAGGTGAGACGCGCGCACAGGTGAGACGCGCGCACAGGTGAGACGCGCGCACAGGTGAGACGCGCGCACAGGTGAGACGCGCGCACAGGTGAGACGCGCGCACAGGTGAGACGCGCGCACAGGTGAGACGCGCGCACAGGTGAGACGCGCGCACAGGTGAGACGCGCGCACAGGTGAGACGCGCGCACAGGTGAGACGCGCGCACAGGTGAGACGCGCGCACAGGTGAGACGCGCGCACAGGTGAGACGCGCGCACAGGTGAGACGCGCGCACAGGTGAGACGCGCGCACAGGTGAGACGCGCGCACAGGTGAGACGCGCGCACAGGTGAGACGCGCGCACAGGTGAGACGCGCGCACAGGTGAGACGCGCGCACAGGTGAGACGCGCGCACAGGTGAGACGCGCGCACAGGTGAGACGCGCGCACAGGTGAGACGCGCGCACAGGTGAGACGCGCGCACAGGTGAGACGCGCGCACAGGTGAGACGCGCGCACAGGTGAGACGCGCGCACAGGTGAGACGCGCGCACAGGTGAGACGCGCGCACAGGTGAGACGCGCGCACAGGTGAGACGCGCGCACAGGTGAGACGCGCGCACTGGTGAGACGCGCGCACAGGTGAGACGCGCGCAAGGCGACTGACGAGAGTGAGATAATGGGCCGTGGCGACTTAAAAGGCGACAGTTGCGAGTGCAGTTGCGGGCAGTGCTTCTATGCGCTCGCTGTACATGGTGCTAATGTCCCCCTCCCCCCCCCCCCCCGCGGCACCCGGCAGACGCTATGGACGTTGAAGGACGGCGGCGCGGTGAGCGCGGAGGCGGACATCGTGGCGGCGATCGAGGCGGCGGTGGCGGATGGCGTGGACGTGCTGACCATGTCGCTGGGCGGCCAGGCGTCGCTCTTCGACGTCGACCAGCTCGCCTTCCTGCACGCCGCGCAGGTCACCCCCGCCACCCCTGCCCTGCCCATGCCTCTGCGCAGTCGCTGTTTGCTGCTCGTAATCACGTGCTTGCGTGCCTGCCGCTAGCCCGGGCCCCTCGTCACCCGTGTCTCTCGCCCTCTGTGCCCCGCGTGCCTCAGGCTGGTGTGTTCGTGTCGGTACCGGCGGGCAACAGCGGCGCGGCCATCGCTCGGCAGTACTTCACTTGCACGCTGGACCACCCCGCGCCGTGGTACTCCACCGTCGCCGCTAGGTCAGCCCGCCGCCCCGCGGCCCCCCTTGCCATCACTCCCGCTCCTTTCCCTCCTTTCCCAAACCCATTCTCCCCCTCTCATTCCAGCTCCTCGCTTCCCCTTTCCTCCCCTGCTCCACCCTGTCCGCCTTGGACCTATCCCCTTTCCTCCCCTCCGCCCCGCGGCAGCTCGCACGGGCGCAACTACAGCACGGCCGTGACCATCGGCGGCACCACGTTCGTGGGGCGGTCGCTGGTGGGCGGGGCGGGCACGGCGCTGAGGGCGGGCATCGTGCTGGGGTCCGACGCCAACAGACCGGGCGCGTCCAGGAACGCGGTGAGCCGCACGCTCGCACTGCCATGCCGTGGCGTGCTACGTGCCATACTGCCATGCCATGTCATTCTGCCGTTCCATGCTGCCATGTTGTGAAGCCATGCTGTGCTGGAGATGCTAGGGTGTCAGGAATGTGACGAGTGAGGTGGTTTGCCACTGCTTTAGTTTCTACCTAAGAACGAAACTTAACGGAAACGTCTGACACAGGTTCATGTCCTAGGTAAGACGAACAAGGCCAGTGGCATGCACCTCATGATGTATGTTGCCTCATCACCGCGCCCTTAAGAGTGCCAGCACCCAAACACTCAGGATGGCTGTTATGGGCTGCTCAAATCACCACGTGCAGTGCCCCACAATCCCAGCGCCGTGCTTCCCGCACTGCATATCTCACGCCTCCCCTGCCCCCCACAGGCCAACTTCTGCCAGCGCGGGTCTCTGGATCCCGCCAAGGTGCGTGGCAAGATCGTGGTGTGCACGCGCCCCAGCACCCAGGGCTCGCGCTCCTCACGCACCTTCAACATCAGTCGCGCCGCCAAGGCTGCGGGCGCCGTGGGCGTGGTGATCGCGAACCAGGACCCCGGCGACAGCGCCGCCGCCATGCTGCACGACCTGCCAGCCTCACACGTCACCGCGGACGTGCGGGGCAAACTCATCGCACTCGTGAAGGCCACTGCAAGGTGCGCGCGGGCGTGGGCGCGGGTGTGGGATGAAGAGAGTGTGTGCTTGATGGGGGATGATAGGGTGCAGAGGAGAGGGTGGCTGTGGGCAGTAGTTGCTCTAACCGTCATGTGCCACCACTCACTAGCCGCCACCAGAAATGCGGTACGCACAAGTTACATTGCTGCAGGGTGCCAACGGAATGCACTGTCACCAGCCTCGACCTCACTGCCCACACACACCACTGCCACCACGTCCACAATCCCTTACTCAAAACGTCACAGCACCTCGCCTTGTGCACCTGTGCTCCCCCCCTCCACTGCTTTCCCCCCCTGCAGCCCCTGGGCGTCGTTGTCGCCACTGTTCATCGCGCACTCGCCATCGCCCACCATGGCTTGGTTCTCCTCCACAGGCCCCTCCACAGACCCTTACCAGACGTTCGACGCCGCGCCCACAGGCAGCAGCCTCAACGACGTGTTGAAGCCCGATGTGACGGCGCCGGGCGTGGAGATCTGGGCGGGGTGGACGCAGTCGCCCTTCCAGGTCACGGACATGGGCGTCACCGATGGTGAGAACGCAGCAGCTCGCATTGCATGCACACTTCCTGCCTTGGCACTGCCATTCAACAAACGTGGTTGGATTCTGTGACCCAAGTACCAGCACGCTCACTCCCCTTTGGTGTGGTTGGCAGGTGCGAGTGTGCGGGCGTCGCAAGTGACAGCGCAGATGGTGAGCGGCACGTCCATGTCCACACCGCACGTGGCAGGCATAGCTGCGCTGCTGAGGCAGCAGCACCCCCAGTGGAGCCCGTTCGCCATCAAGTCAGCACTGCAGACCACGGCGTACACCGTCAACAGCGCTGGCAAGCCCATCGCCAATGAGGACGGCAGGGTTGCCAACGGCCATGCCATGGGGTCCGGACACGTCTTCCCCATCCGCGCACTGGACCCAGGTGAGATTCTCAAACGTAGAGTGCTGCATGACTGGAGAGCTTTTTGTCTCGTGGTTATGCGTGCCAATATCTCCCTTGCCGTATTCCTGAAGGAGGGAACAAAGAACACGAGGAGTTCTCCAAGCCACTGCGTGCCCCTCCTAATGTGGTATCCAGCTCCTGTGCGCTGTGTGGCGGTCATGTGCAGGGCTGGTGTACGAGAGCAACATGGTGCAGATGGCGCAGTTCCTCATGGCCGTTGACCCCTGGGAAGCCAAGCAGACCAGCGCCTTCAACGCCCTCCCCGCACACCTGCAAAAGGCCATCCCGACATACAACGTCAACCTCCCAAACATTGCTGTCAGCAGGCTGCACAAGCAAGTTGTGGTCACGCGGGTCGTGAAGAACGTGGGTGCGGCGACTGCAACCTATAGGGCAACCGTGGTGCGTCCTAAAGGATTACGGGTTATTGTGAGCCCTGCGGAGTTTACCATCTCCCCTGGTAAATACATTAAGTATACTGTCACGTTTTTGGTGCGGAGGCCGAGCCAAAACTTCAGGTTCGGCAGTCTGGTATGGTCGGATGGGGTGCATAGTGTACGTTCAGTGCTGGCAGTTCAACCTCTTTCTCGCTGACTCTACCGTTTTCAACCCCAAATACTAGAGTTAGACATATTTTCTCTAACATGTTAGTGGTTGTGCCATATCATATGCAGTAGTGCAAAGCTTCTTGGGCATGAAGTTAGCTAAATACATCCTGTACGCTCAGCGGAAAGCATCTTTGTTTGCTTCAATTTAAATGTGAGGTCGAATTATTACAGGTTCTCTTTATGAGCGGCTTTGTGGATTACTGTAAATGCTCGGATAGAAGACCCCTGTATCTTTAATAATCCAAGCAAACATCTTATAATTAGAAAAATATCGAGGTTTTGGGTGTCTCACTCATAGTAACTGGATATGAGTGCTTACAATAGGGTGTCAACTTATACATTTGCTGTGCATGTATAGTTATAGGCTAGACGGGTTTGTGCTCTTAGAGAGTACTCTCAAAGTTAGAATTGTGTAGTAGAATGAGAGTATACAGGGGTATATAGTTAGTGGGTTGTACTTGTTACGAAGTCAACGAAATGATAGGCGGCTAGGCAGCCATGGCCGGGACGAAAGGGTTTAGCTAGGAGAGAAAGTTACGAGAGAAAAGAGAACGAGAATAGAAAAGAGAGGGATACAAGGAGGGGGTTGTACCTATCAGAATAATTGAATGAAGGTAAAGTGAGTGTACACACAAATATATCTAAGTTTTGTATCCTCTAAGAGGTGACTCTATACAGTCTATACAAACATGACAAATACACATGTTTGACACACCCCCTAGACTGCATAGGGGAATACCTTAAACAAGCAGCTCAGGGCGGCACTACTAGTCCAACCTCTGAGGCAAGGGTCTGAGCGACCGGTCAGAAGGAGTACAGACAAGGCAAGCACAAGAGCAGGGCGGCACTACTAGTCCAGCCACTGGGAGAGGACACAAGTCCAGTCTGAGTATACATATAAAGGACAGTACAAAGTCAAGGTCCTAGCAAGTGAGAGGCTACAGGAACTAGACCAAGCTGTACACAGTGCCGCTGATGATCTTTAGGCGCAAGCGCCTTCGTAAAGATATCAGCCGTGTTGGCACCTGAGGCCAAGTGTACTACGCGAGCCTGACGTCGCTGCTGTAGCTCACGCAGGAGGAAGTACCGCAGCTGAATGTGCTTCGCTCTGCCCTCGAGTCGAGGCTCCTGACACAGGAGGATCATGGCCCTGTTGTCAGCGAACAGGACCGGGGCAGAGCTAGGCCGCTCACCTAAGTCAGTGAGCAAGAAGGTCAGCCAGCGGAGCTCCTGTGCCGCCATGGCACCGGCGTAGATCTCAGCCTCACAGCTGGACTGTGCAACAGACGAGGAGCGAGTAGCTCTCCACGAGACGGCACCTGAGCCAAGGCTGAAGCAGTAGCCCTGGGTAGACCGGAGTGTCTCAGCGTCGTCTGCCCACGAAGCGTCTGTGTGCCCAGTAAGGACCGCTGGCCTGCGTCCTCCTAGCACTAACCCCATGCCCGATGTACTAGCAAGATAACGCAGAACCCTCTTAGCGGCAGACCAGTGCTGCGGTCGGTGTCTGCCTGTGGCCACAAAGCGAGCCAGGATGCTGAGAGGGTATGCGAGATCTGGGCGAGTGCAAGTCATCAGGTACATGAGGCAACCCACCAGCTCTGCGTAGGGGCCGCTGGGCTCTACCAACTCCTCAGGCACTGGAGCGGAGAGCCTGTGGTCTACAGGCAGAGGGGTGGGCTGTGCAGAGGAGAACTGAAGGCTGAACCTCTGAAGGACCTGGCGCACCAAGTGTGACTGAGTCAGGGTGATGGTGCGCGCAGCTCTGTCCCTGGAGATCTGCAAGCCAAGGTAACGGCGCAGTTCTCCAAGATCAGTGCAGGTGTGTCTCTTCAGCAGCTCTGCCTTCACGGAGGCCAGCGCGTCCCTGTCTGCTGTGGCAAAGACCAGGTCGTCGACGTAAACGAGGATGTAGAACGGAGTCTGGCCAGCACGAACGAAGAGTGAAGGGTCTGCAGAAGACGGAAAGAACTGCAGGTCAGCAAGCGTAGCACGCAGAGTGTCGTGCCACTCACGGGGAGCCTGGCGCAGGCCGTAGACGGGGCGCCGCAGGAGCCACTGGGTCCCAGGAGGGAAGGTGCCAGTAAAGCCCGGAGGGCGGCGCAGGTAGACCTGCTCGTGTAGGCTGCCCTGAAGGAAGGCAGTGGAGAAGTCGAGGGAGTGAAGCTCGTAGTCACGCTGAGCAGCTAGGTGTAACAGAACCCGAAGAGTAGTCATCTTCGGGGTCGGAGCGAAAGTCTGGAAGAAGTCCACCCCCTCGCGCTGACTGAAGCCTCTAGCCACATAGCGCGCCTTGAAGACAGGCGGCTCTCCAGGAGGGCGCTTCACCTTGAAGAGCCAGCGGCCATCGACTACGTTCACCCCAGGTGGGGGAACTGCGTCGACGAAGGTGCCGGTGGATCTCCAAGATGCCATCTCCTGCTCCATGGCAGCTATCCACTGCGAGGCCCAGGGTCCCGAAGTCGCCTCAGCGTAAGTGCGAGGGGTTGGGATGTCGAAAGCGTCTTGGTCACCCTCAGGGACTAGCAGCATGGAACAGAGATGGGGAGCAGCCTTGGAGAGGAAAGCAAGCTCGAACTGGCGGTCCTCCAGGACGTCACTGCCAAGAGCAGGAGCACCCCCGACAGACGGAGGACAGGCAGGGTCAGAGACCAGAGCGGTGGCGTAGTCAAGGCGGCGGGTAGAGGCGAAGTCAGCGACAGCAGCGACAAGAGCGTCAAGGCACGAGACTGGAACAGACGGGTCGGTAACGAGAGAGGCAAGGACCAGAGGAACGAGAGGACGAGCGGCACGAAGGTAGTCGGACAGCGGGGGGGGCGCAACAACAAGGGAGGACGGAGGAGGCGATGGCAGAAGGGGAGGACGAGACGCGTGTGAACGAAGCAACATAGGGTGGGAGCGCAGGACAGGCGAGGCAGGACGAGCACGGGAGGGACGGTGAGACCAGACGTGCGATGGAGGAGTCGGGTCAGGAGACAGGGGAGGGGACACAGGAGGGGAACGAGGGGGGAGACGGGCCGGGGACGAGTCCGGCGGAGGGAAAACAGGGCCGTAGACAGGAAGAGGAGGAGACGGTCGGGGAGGAACCGACGCAGGGTCGGGGGACGGAAGGCCGAGCAGGCGAAGGGCGGACACCGGCGGGGACTGCTGCTGCGGCGGCACAACGGCGACACCTGGACCGCAAGCTGCTCCTCGGCTACCACCGGCACTCTCCACGCGCGCACCCCCAGAGGGACCACCCTCAGGGCGACCGGGACGAGCACCCCCAGAGTCAGCGAACGGGGGCTGCGACTGCGGCGGCGACGGCGACGGGTGCAGTGGCGGCAGGGACGGCGGAGGAGGGGACTGGGGAGGGGACACCTGGGGAGGGGCGGCCGGCGAGGACTGCACCGGAGGGCCACCAGAGTCAGAAGACTCCTCAACCGGGTCCACGGACGGAAGGGGGGTGACGTGGGACACACCAGAGGGGGCGGGACGGGGAGGAGGAGGAGGAGGGGCAGGGACTACCGGGGAAGGGGTGACCAGGAACAGGGGGGGGGTAACCGGGGGACCATGGTGGGGGAAGCGACGGTAGTAGGAGACGGACTCGTCAAAGGTGACGTCTCGAGAGTGAAAGAAGCGGTGAGACGGCGGGTGGTAAAAGTGCCAGTCGGACGCGTCAAGGGGAAAACCGAGGAAGACGCAGGGAAGGGTGCGGGCAGTGAGCTTGTCCGTGCCGGAGGCACGGACGTGAGCAAGGCAGCCCCAGACGTGGAACGCAGACGCGTCACCAGGAGACCCAGTCCACAGACGGGTCGGCGAAACCTGCGGCTGCTGAGGGTGCGGCCACAGGTTAAGCTGGTGAGAAGCGTAGCGCACAGCGAACGGCCACAGAAAATGGGGTGCACCGGCATGGACCATGGAGGTGCGAGCGACCTCCATGACCAAGCCGATGCGTCGCGACCCCATTCTGCTGTGGGGAGTCCGGTAGGGTGAACGTCTGGGTGATGCCCTCCGCACGACAAAAGCGACCAAGGACACCTGAGGCAAACTCGCCACCACGGTCTGAGTGAAGACGCAAGACAGGGAGACCGCGGTGGACACGCGCAGAGACAAGCCAGGGGATGAGGGCGCCAGGCACGTCGGCCTTGCGCTCCAGGGGAAAGACTGTGGTGTAACGAGTGAAGTCGTCGACAAGCACAAGGAAGTAGCGCTCGCGACGCGGCCCAGGGACGGGGGCGGGGCCCCAGACGTCCAGGTGCAGGGTCTGCAGCGGCGCGGCGGTAGGGGGGAACGAGGAGGAGTGAGGGGCACGGCGAAGCCGACCCTCGACACAAGGCGTGCAAGGTGGAGCTGGGGAGGAGGGAAACGCGGGGAGTGAACCTGGGAGACCAAGGACAAGACTGTGCTGGGACATGTGACGCAGACGCGGGAGCGCAGGGTGACCTAGGCGGTGGTGCCACAGGAGGGTCGGGTGAGTGAGGGAGCGACAGGAGCAGGCAGCAGCAACCTGGGTAGACACAGCCACCTGAGGGGGCGCTCCAGCCGGGGGGGGCACGGTGTCCACAGTGAACAGGCCGGACACCGGGTCCCGGGGGAACGTGGACAGGGGGGCACCAGTGGCGGCCTCGGTACAGACAGCATACCGCTCGTGACCAGGGAACGTAGTGGTGACGCCAAGGTCCTGGAGGCAGCCGACACCAACTAGGTTCCTGGAGAACGAAGGGATATGCAGACCTGTAAGAGAGCCCGAAGGAACCGCCGGACAGGGAAGGGTGGTGGAACTGCGGGCGACTACCGGACCGCCGGAGGGGTCAGCAAGAGAAACGGCAGCAGGAACAGGAAGCGGCGTCAGGGTGGTGGAGTCGCGGAAGAAACACCGAGAGGCGCCAGAGTCCAAGGTGAAGGAAAGCGAAGCCGAGGGGTCTGGCGACGGAACGACGGCAGAAGCACCAAGACTACACAAAGCAGGGGATCCTACGCCTGACGCAGCAGGGGAGGCGAAGCTAGGCACACCTACACTAGGCAACAGTGAGTAATAAGTCGGAAGCACACTAGAGTCATCAGCATACATCACATGCAGAGCAGAAACAATGGCATCCATGTCCATATCAAAGATCTGAATCTGACGACTAAGCAAACTGTGCCAGTCCGGGAGGTCTGGCGACGGGCCGAAACGCTGACGAAAGAGGTCGTCCAGGCGACGAAAGCAGCGGGGAGTGGAGTGACCGATCTTACCGCAAACGAAGCCGCGGCGAGGACCGGTCTGGATCTGGTACTGACAACGCCCGCCGGCAGAGCCACCACGTGGCACACCACCACGCGCCCATCCACCGCCAGCGCCGGGCCACCCTGGCGGGAGAACACTCGTCTGCCGCGTCTGCGACGGCTGCTGCGGCTGCTGCGAAGGCTGCGACTGCGGCGGCTGCTGCGGCTGCTGCGGCTGCTGCAACTGCAGGGGCGGCGACTCAGCTGGACTGGGCAGGGTCCACTCGTCCGCTCCAGCACCAGGCGACCCGACCCCACCACTACCCCCGCCCGCACCCCCGCCGCCTCCTCCGCCGCGCCCAGCCTTGGGGCGGCGGCCCTTCCCAGAACGGGCCTGCGCTGCAGCAGCAGTCTCAGCCACTGCGGCAGAGCCGTCGGAGAAGGTACACTGAGCGGGGGCACAACCCTGAAAGATAGGGACCGGCACGACACCGCTCGCCTGGGCGATGGAGCGGTGACGGGTCTCTATCACAGTCAGGGTGTCGACAAAGTCAGTGAGGGTGAGGTCTGCGGGGTGAACACTAAGGAAGCGGTCGCGGGCGACAGCAAGGCGGTCAGGGAGGCGGGTGGCAAGCAGGTAGAGGGTAGAGGTAATGGGCGGCTGGTGGGCTCTAAGCTGTGCGTCAGTGCAGGCGGCGCGCCAGGTCTCCTCTATCGAGCGCAGGTGGGCAGCGAGGTCAGAGACAGTGGGGAACGAAGCAAGGTCAGGAAAGAGTAGCGGGAGGATCAGGCGACCCACCGAGGCAGCCGGAGGGGTGGAATAGCGCTTGATGACAGCATCTAAGTATGCCTGAGCAGTAGTGAGGGACCTAAAGCGAGGACGCTCGGACGGGGGGAGGGCGTTGCTAATGGCAAGTTGGGCGACAGCATCGCGAGAAAGCCAGACAGAGCGCGCACGGGCAGTGGCAGCAGTAGACTCACGCTCAGTGGGTGTGGGGTCCGCGGGCAGAATAGCAGGGGGGTCTGGGCAGGGGAGCGTACCGTCAAGGTGTGCAGAAAGCGGTTCACCATCCTGCCGCTGGCCAGTGAGTTGGCGGCGGAGGTCGGCAAGCCACGCCTCGAACTCTACGGGCTGACCTTCAGCGTCGAAGCGAAGCTCCGCCGCCATCAGGAACAGTCCAGTGCTGTGCAGGGCGGTGCAGCTAGGTGGGGTGCGGCGCAGTGCGATACAGTGCGGTGCAGTGCGGTGCAGTGCGGTGCAGTGCGGTACTGTGCGATACAATGCAGTGCAGTGCGGTGCAGTGCGGTACTGTGCGGTACAGTGCGGTGCAGTGCGGTGTAGTGCGGTGCAGTGGGGTACAGTGCGGTGCAGTGCGGTGCAGGGCGGCACGGAGCAGGGCGGGGTGGGGGGGGGGGGGGGGGGGGAACCGTACCAGTGAGGAGGACGGGGCCGGGGCTGGCCCGACGGGGCCGGGCGGGCGCGACGGGGCCGGGCTGGTGCGACAGGGCCGGGACGGGGCGACGGGGCCGAGCGGGCGCGACGGGGCCGGGCTGGGGCGACGGGGCCGGGCGAGTGCGGCAGGGCCGGGCTGGTGCGACGGGGCCGGGCGAGCGGGACGGCGGCCGGGCTGGTGCGACGGGGCCGGGCGGCTGCGACGGGGCTGGGCAGGGTGCGACGGGGCCGGGCGGGTGCGACGGGGCCGGGCGGCGCGACGGGGCCGGGCAGGGTGCGACGGCGCCGGGCGGGCACGACAGGGCCGGGCGGCGGCGACGGCGCCGGGCGGGCGCGACGGGGCCGGGCGGCGGCGACAGGGTCGGGTGGGCACGACGGGGCCGGGCGGCGGCGACGGGTACGCCGCGGCCCAGGAGGGGCGCTACGGGGGCCTGGGAGGGGCGCGACGGGGCCTGGGAGGGGCGCGACGGGGCCCAGGAGGGGCGCTACAGGGCCCAAGGAGGGCGCGACGGGGCCCAGGAGGGGCGCTACGGAGCCCAGGAGGGGCGCGACAGAGCCGAGGAGGGGCGCTACGGGGCGTGGAAGGAGCGCGACGGGGCCCAGGAGGGGCGCGACAGAGCCCAGGAGGGGCGCTACGAGGCCTGGGAGGAGCACGACGGGGCCCAGGAGGGGCGCTAGGGGGCCTGGGAGGGGCGCGACGGGGCCTGGGAGGGCGTTACCGGGCCCAGGAGGGGCGCTACGAAGCCCAGGGGCGCGACGAGGCCCAGGAGGGGCGCTACGGGGCCCAGGAGGGGCGCGACGGGGTGCTACGGGGCCTGGGAGGAGCGCGACGGGGCCCAGGGGGGGGCGCTAGAGGGCCTGGGAGGGGCGCGACTGGGCCTGGGAGGGGCGCGACGGGGCCTGGGAGGGCGGTACAGGGCCCAGGAGGGGCGCTACGAGGCCCAGGAGGGGCGCGACGAGGCCCAGGAGGGGCGCTACGGGGGCCCAGGAGGGGCGCGACGGAGCGCTACGGGACCTGGGAGGAGCGCGACGGGGCCCAGGAGGGGCGCTAGTGGGCCTGGGAGGAGCGCGACGGGGCCTGGGAGGGGCGCGACGGGGCCTGGCAGGGGCGCTACAAAGCCCAGGAGGGGCGCGACGAGGCCCAGGAGGGGCGCTACGGGGCCTGGGAGGAGCGCGACGGGGCCTGGGAGGAGCGCGACAGGGCCCAGGAGGGGCGCTAGGGGGCATGAGCGGAAGCGGTGGGTGGGGGGGATCTTACCTACGCGTGATACCATATCAGAATAATTGAATGAAGGTAAAGTGAGTGTACACACAAATATATCTAAGTTTTGTATCCTCTAAGAGGTGACTCTATACAGTCTATACAAACATGACAAATACACATGTTTGACAGTACCCTCTGTTGGGCTGATAAAAGCCCTTAGGACCTTTCCAGAGACTAAGTCCCAGTTGTAAAGAAGGCTTGAGTAGTGCAGCGGAAGTTGGAGTAGTTGAACCCTTGCACTAGTACCGTAATCCCCCGTATAAAACACCCGCCGGAATTAAGCTCCCCCGGGTAGCTTGAGCGGGTATGGGTGTTTAATTTTTCTGGATATACACAACACCCTACTCTCGGACGTGAAAACATTTGAACACCCCCCTGCCACTAGAATCTCCATTTCTAGCAGGAAATGACAGAATTTCGTGTTGCGTCGTTCCGCGGCTCAATCGCAAAAAAAAACTGCTCGCGCCGAAAATTTACTGTACAGATTCCCGCGTGTCGGAAACAATGTCGCCTGAACAAAGGTTTTGAAACATGCCCATGAATCTAGGCAGGCTGAACCTGACGTTGCACCTTATGGAACAGCACTAAAATATTTCGCGTCAGAATTCGCGACACTGTAACTCGCGAGCCTGGGAAGGTTCCCTGGGAAGAGGCTACGCTCTTAGGTAGGAGACGAATCTGCCCGAAAGAAAAAAAAAATCGACGAATACAAATCCGAAAGTTTGAGACTGTACTCGACTTTCGCGCGTCCCGCCAAATTAAACGTGTGCTCATTGGTTGTTCTGACAGCATCCTCCCTGACACTGCATGCTCACTGCCAATGTGGCATGCAGATCGGGAATATCGTCCAGTATGCAATGAGGTGACCAAAAGTGGGTATCTGACTCAAATGAATGTGGTGAAACATGCACACTTGAATTCCAATTATAAAAACCATATGCACATTCCATAACTCCTGGGTGTTTTATTTTTTTGGCCTTTAATTACACCCAGCCCAAATTTTTGCTGCATTTTTATGAACACCATAGGGTGCTTTATACGGGGGATTACGGTATGTGAGAGCAAGTGATTGATTAAAGAAACAAGCATACATCAATATATAGAGAGTAGGAAAGTAAAGCAGTTGTAGAATACAGTTAAAAGAGCGGTTTATCGAGTCGCACAGCGACTCGATTGTCGGTTCTGTTACCATCCTTGCAGTTGTAATGGTCAGTCGCAACCTCCGGTTGCGACCCTTCGAGTCCTTTCGTGTTCTTTGTCCAACCCCTCGTGTAACCTCCGTTGACTCGCGTACCCGTTATGAAACGACTTTCCTCGAGTGTAGTGTTACACTTCAGAAACGCTTACCGTAATCCCCCGGATATAACACCCTATGGTGGATATGAAAATTCACTAAAAAAATGAGTGGGTGTTAACAGTGGCCCGGAAAAATATAACGCCCATGTGTTATGTAAAATGCAAAATGAATTCGAGTGTTCCATGCCCTATTTGCCCATAAGGGTGCGGAGCAGCTGCTAACGAGGAAAAACAATTTGATTTTTCTGTCTCCCCCACAATATCGTAACCCCCTGGCCCAACGGTTTCAGTCCCCCCCGAGAATTTCGTTTCCCCCTTTACCGACAATTTCGATTCCCCCTTCACCGACAATTTTGAATCCCCCTCCCCCTGAAAGTTTCGAATCCCTCTTCCCCCCACATTTTCGATTCCCCCTTCCCCCCACGTTTTCGATTCCCCCTTCCCCCACAATTCGATTCCTCCTTCCCCTCAATTCGATTCCCAACAATTCAATTATGCCCGGTTTTTCCGGTGCTAATGGTTGTTGACGCACGATTTCATCATGCTCGCTTTTTGCAACTGAGCGGACCTTGTAATACAAGAACAAATTCAGTTTTCAAACGAGTAAAACGAGGAGGGTGTTATGTAAAATTCGTCACCTGAAAAGCGGGTACTCTAAAAAATGCACCATATCATAAGCTCCCCCCCGTATTAACCACCTGTGGAGTGACTATTCCGGCGGGTGTTATATCCGGGGGATTACGGTAAGTCCTTGAGGTATTTCCAACACTCCCCCTCGTTTCTGGAGTGCTGATGTGTCCAGATTCGGCGACGTTTATCTGCCCGGTCAGCAGCATACAGTAGTCGAACTTTGCTTTCGCCAGTTTCTTCGTCAGGTAGTCTGCAGCCATTTCTGTCGTGGGGTAGTAACTGAGTTGAAGTCTCCCCTTCGCGATTTCGTCTTTGACGAAGAAATACCGCAGGGCGATGTGTTTGGTTCGGTTGGCGAAACCATCTTTGTTCGCGATTTTGATCGCGGATTGGTTGTCGCAGAAGTGTGAGAAGAAGGGCAGGGTTGCAATCTTTGCTTCCTCGAGCAATTCTCGCAGGTAGAGTCCTTCCTCGGTCGCAGTGCAGAGGGCGATATATTCTGCTTCGGCCGAAGATAGTGCGATTAGTTCCTGTTTGCTCGACTGCCAGGAGATAGTCCCGATAGGCTCTAGTCAGTAGATGTAGCCCGTCCTTGAGCGTCGATTTTCCCTGTCTCCTGCGTGGTCGGCGTCGACGTATCCAAGTAGTTGTACGGACGATGTTGTTGCTTTACTGTAGGTAGGTCAAGTTGTCTAGGTAGAGACGAAGTAGAGTAGTGCCCGATTTAGTTCCTCGAGATCTTCTTGTTCCGGCTGCTTTAAATGCGTCGCTAGTTGGCTTGCGCTGTAAGATAGGTCCGGTCGGCAGGTTACTGCTGCGAATAGTAGGCAGCCGAGCTTCTGCTGATACTCCTGGATTTGCTTCGCGGGGAGTTTTGCGGAGGTGTCGTTGTTGTTCCCGTAGCGGTAGGGAGTCGTGACCGTAGTCGGCGTTAGTCCGAATTTCTTCGCGACGGCGCCTGCGTACTTCCCAGTGTGTGGATAGAATACCGAGTTGTCTTCGACGATGTTCAAGCCCAGGTACTGGGTCAGGTCATTTCTCAGCTCCCCTTCAAACCAGGTGGGGATGTCGGTAGTGGAGCTGATGTAGAGTAGGTCGTCGACGTAGATGATGAGTAGGATAAATTCCTTTTCCTTCTGTAGTCGGTACATGCCTTGGTCGTGTGGCAGCTGTTGGAAGCCAATCCTGACGAGGCGGCCGTGAAGGTGCTGCTGCCAAAGCAGCGGGGCTTGTTTGATCCCGTAGAGGGATTTTGTCACCTGGCACGTTTTTGTGGGGTCGTCGATGAATCCGTGGGGCTGCTCGACGAAGATCTCGGCGTCCACCGGTGCGTATAGGAAGGCGTTTGCAACGTCGATTTGGTGTAGTGGTAGCTTCTTCGTGGCCGCGACGGCGAGTAGAATGCGCAAGGAGGTGTGACGGGAGACTGCGGCGAATGTCTCTGTATAGTTAGTTCCGTATCGCTGATCGAATCCCCGTACGACCCTGCGAGCCTTGAATCGTTCGATGGAGCCGTCCGCATTAGTCTTGATGCGGTACACCCATTTTCCCGAGAGCACGTTTTTTCCGTTGGTTGTTGTTGCAAGTACCAGCTTCCACGTGTTTCAGTCTTGGAGGGCCTTTAGTTCTTTTTCCATTGCTTCCTTCCATTTCGCCTTGTGTTCCCCCCCCAGAGCCTGCGACAGAGTCGTTGGCTCGCGCGGAGACGGCGGCGGCGGGTGCTGGACGGAGACCCATAAGCCGAGTATCTGCAGTCCCGTGGGTGTGTGTCGAGGGGAATTTTCATTCCCGGAATAGGTTGCTTCGCCACCATCTTCTGGATCAGGTTAGAAGTTTGGGCCGATGCGTTCTGAGACATTCGTGTCGACCGGGTGAGGTGTAACGTAACCTTGGTCAGCGAAGTGGTAATGGGTGTCGAGGTTGTTGCTATCGAGGGGATTGTCGTCGTCGAGTGGAACAGGCACGGAACAATAAGGGAGTGGTCCGGCAGCTTCGAAGCTCCTAGTACATCTTCTTCTGCTGCATCAGCCTCGGCGGCATGGTCAGCGAAGGACCGAAGGCCCGCGAAGCCGTCGGTGGGGTCGTCTGTGTTGGCGATGTTGTCCAGGTAATGCTGCAGCGTCAATCGTTCGTAGAAAATCACATCACGTGATGCCACGGTATTTTTGTCTTGTATGTCGAGGAGTTTCCATGCTTGGAAATGTTTGGCGATGCCGAGGTGTAGTCCCCATCGTGCTCGTTGAGTGAAGCGTCCTGCTTGGGCTGTGTGGGGTCTGTACTGTACCATGCAGCCGAAAACCCGAAGTAATTTTGTGCTGCCCCTTTTTCTTGTCCATAGCAGGTGTGGTGATGCGTTGTTGGGGAGCGAGGACGAGGATAACAAATTGTGCAGGTGGACTGCATGTGTCATCGCGTCTGGCCACAGTGTGTTGGGCAGTCTCATCCCCAAGAGCAGCTTCCGCATGGTCATCTGCAAGGTCCGGTTCATTCTTTCTGCGACCCCATGCTGCTGGTGAGCGTAGGGCAGAGACAACAGGCGTCTAATTCCTCTTTCCGCCAAGTAGTTCCTGAATTGTTGTGACTGGTATTCCAGTGTGCCGTCTGACTGGAAGCTCTTGAGTTGAGTTCCTGATTCTCGTTCAGCGATGGGGAGCCACGTCGTGAAGGCTTCGAAAGCTTGATCGCGTGTCTTGAGGTTGTAGTGCCAGACGTATCTTGTTGCTGCATCGATGAACGTGATGACATAGTTGAAGTCGGCTTCACTGTCGTCTCGAGGCATGTTTAAGATGTCGCTGTAAACTTTTTCCATCGGTGCGTATGCAGGTGCGCTTGGGTTGTGATGTGATGGAAAAGGTTGGTGGGGAAGATCGGCTTTGGGGCACGTGAAGCATCGTGCGCGTGGTCGTTGAAGTTCTTGGCCGCTCGTTGTAAGAAGAGCGTTTCGTTCTAACACTTCGGCTTGGATGGTTTGTAGTAGTGTGCTGTTTGCAGGGTGCCCAAGGCGTTGGTGCCAAATGTCGTCGGGAGCGTGATGGCCGGGCGAGCGGTGGTACATGTCGGTGTTGGAGAAGAACGCGACGACCGTGGCGGGACTTCGGCAGACTTTTCGTGTGATGGGCATGAGTTGATCTGCTTCAGTTGGCGGTCCTCGGATTGCTGGTGATGGTACTCGGTTGGGTCCTGCTGCTGTTATTTCAGGTGATGTCGAGGAAGAGACGCTTGCTGGTACTTGTCTTTCTTGTCGAATGACTGCTAACGCTCGTGTTCTCTCTGCTACAGGTATGGTGTTGGAGTACCAGAATCCATCTGGGGTGAAGTCGGGGTCAAGATCCGGTGGGTGCGTCCATGCGGCGAACGACACGATGCCATCACTGTCGGCAGTACCGCGGTCGGGGACGAAATCCAACACGAAGACGCCCGACTTCAGCAGAGCGCGGCCGATGAAGAGGCCGCCGTTCC